TGGTTTAGCGCTCTGGCTTAGTTATTCCCCTTGGCACAGCAGCATAAGATATATATTTTTTTTTTTAAAAAAAAGATTTACTTATTTATTCATACAGAACTGGGGTACAGGCCAGAGATGGGGAGGGTGAGAGGATTCACCAGGAACAGAGTGGGGAGCAGAACAGGCAGATCGCTGAAGTACACTGCTGAGGGGAGCAGCGGGCGGGTCAGGAGAGGTCTGCCACGCCATGTGGCTCTCCTCCAGGGCAGGTGGGATTCGAACTTATGCCTAAGTGGCTTAAGCTTCTTAGTGCAGTGCTTTAACCCACTGTGCCACCAGGGAAGGCCAGCATAAGATATTTTATCATAAAAGATGCTCTTAATTCTCTGCACTGCTCAGGTAGCCTAGTGATCCTCTTGAAGCTAGATTTTAATTGCATGTAAAATGCACACATCTCATTTTAATACGTGCTTAGGACACGAAGAAGACCCTGTTTTTTCATTATTAGCAAATGAGTTTGTTCTGTGCTATGCTTTCTAGCATTTTCCCATATTGAAGGTAAAAGTACTCACAGCCGCAGCTCTTCAAATGTTTTCACCGAGTAGAGCGGAGAGCTGGGATCCTTTTGTAAGACTTCAACTCGGTGACTCGATTCTACTAAGGACTGCCGGATTAACTTGTTTAGAAGTGAATTAGCTGCCAAATCCACTAAAAAAAAAAAAACAAGCAAAAATAAAAAAGGGGATCTTGCAGGGGGGAAATCAAGACTTCTGGATGACATCTATTACGTTGTTCCCGCCTTTTCAGTGGTTGTATATATATATCAAACAATTGCACCCACTCTTATCTCCTAAAAGAAGATTCTAGAAAAAAATGACCTAGCACTGAAAATTTTATTCCCTAGCACCCAGTTTCTAATGCTCTGTGCTACACCCTCTAACCTAAAGCATACCGACATCATCAGCACCAGACCTAATTTTTCCTTATCAGCTGAAAAATTTTAACCCATTCCTGCATATTCCATTTCAACTTCCTCTAAAGAAATATTCCCCACTTCTGACTTAGTACTTCTCTTGAAAGTCACTAAAAAGAAAATCTCCTACCTACATCATCTTCGTCATCTTCTTCGGTGTTGTTAATAGAATCATCTAAAAGTATGGAAGAGAAACAAGAAAAGATGAAAGCTGAGCAGAGGTGTAAATTGTATTACCCCTGCTTTCTCTTGCCACTGTACAGTGTTCTCAGACAGGAAGGTAGTGGAGAGTCCTGAATGTGAAAATAAGGGAGCCAGAGATATTTCAGTTGTTAGGGACAAGAGAAAAACAACGCGCTGTAATTACTAGAGGTCAACTGCTTCACCCTAACAGCACTCACCTACGTTTGGGACTGTAGTACTCTTAATACCCCGAAGGTTCTTCCGGGGGTGGATGAGGTTTGAAAACTATTGAAAGACACAAATGTCAAGCAATATTAGGAAGCAAGCCATCAGCAGCCCAGTGCTCTCCTAACAGGGGCAGAAAGGGTTGTAGGGAAGACTACTTGAACACTGTTTCCCTTTGCAAGAATAGGTCTCCTATGAATTAAAATTACAGGAGACTTTCCACGTCCCCGGTACGTGAGGTTCCTCTTTATGAGGCCTCAAGACTAAATGCCGCAGTCCTTAGGGGTCACAGCACGAACAAGGGATGGTGGATAGGAAAGCGCTTTGGTAGATAAAATGGAAGCTGGCCAAGGTTAATAGTAAAACTGGGAGAGTAGAAAACTCGGGGTCTACTTGGGGACCACGAACTGCCTTCCCTCCCGGGCTTCCAGGTGTCTTCACTCTGCCCTTTCAAACCCACCATCTCTCCCCGGGTCTCCTTACCCGTGGCCCTCTTCCAAATCCTTGCCACATCTCCCCTCCATTTGACACCCCACTCCAAAGGCTAGCGGGGGTCCCCCACCCCTCCCCAGCAAATTTCCCTCTGGGAGTGCGATTCTAGCCCCCGCCCCTCTGCCCTCCCCGCCTCGGTGGCGGTTACGTGGCTGTTCAGCCGCTCGCTCTCCGCCGCCCCAGCGTCGCCAGCCCAAAGTAACGACGCCATAGCTGCGATCGCTGCTCCCGCCCCCGGCACGTGCGTCCACCGCAGGCGCGAGGCAGGGCTCGGCCCAGCGGCGGCCAATCGGCTTCCTCGGGGGGCGGGCTTACTTCCCGCGACCCCCCGCGGCCGGGCGCGCAGGCGCCGGAGCTGCGGCGCAGGAGGAGGGAGCGCACGGGAGAGGCGGCGGGGCTGGGGGGTACGCTCCGAGGAGGGGGCTGTTGTATCGAGTCTACAGGGCTCTGTTTGGCCAGCCCCCCCCACTGCGCCAGGTGTTCAAACCCCTGTGGGGGCGCTGTGGTAGTGAACATTCGCCGGCTCGCTGACATCTGCTAAGCCCACAACGACGTGGGGCTCGAAGCTGCAGCGATCTTCTCACCCACGCGGGAGTCATAACTCCCCTGTCCCACCACCCCGCGACCAGGCAGTTCTCCAGGTGGTGAGGATGCACTTCTCTTCTCCCCAAGTGCCCGAGTTTCCCCCGAAATTCCTCTTCTGTGCTACAAAGCAGCTAACTGCATAGGAAATGGGGGGGACAAATAGGTGTTTTACCTACATAGGTATTCGAAATAGAAAAGTGCGGAGAGGAAGTTGTATCTGTTGTCCCTAGTCCTAAATCACTGTGATGTTTCCACACACCGACTTTACTTTTAATTCGGGTTTATACCCCGTGTTAAAGCCACAATGAAAAAGTCGCTTTCCTGTGGTACAACCTCCATTTCCTACCTCCATCTGCATAATCCGAGATGAATTCTTTCTACATCTGACTGCTTAATTGGGAAAAAGAAACAAGTGTTTTCCAGCTTTTAAACTGCAATCTAAAGGTTTATATTAACATCGCTGGAAAACCCCATAAAACCCTAATCAAGATCTCTCCGTGGTGCTGAAGTAACCGCCCCCGTTCTGTTTCGTCAACCTCCGGCACCTCAGTCTTTGGAGGTTAGCATATTCTTTTCGGCCTGATATGTGGATTCAAAAGGTAAATATTTTCTTTCTTAATGATACCTTTCTATTAAGTTAAATAGATATAAAACCAGGCCAAGTTCTTCAACGTTAGTTTTCACTTAAGGATGGCAGACATTTGAAAAGTTACGACTTTTCCTATTATTTTATAGCTCACTAGAATTCATCCTGTGCTTTAATCTTGTACTACCACAGGCCCCAGATTCTGCCTTTTGAAAGTAGAGAAATGGTGGGCGCGCGCGCGCGTGCACACACACTCCGCCTCTTAGAACTAGTTTCCCCACAAAGATGTACTACATTTCCCATGACACCTCGGGCGCGCGCAGAAGACGCAAAGTGACAGCTTCCTGTGTCGCGAAAAGTTGCGTGGCTGACTACCGGAAGGTAAGTGTGGGGGTCGTGGGTGGGTGATTTTCTGGATTGTACAAAGAGTGGATAAACAGCGAGATCCTGTTCTCACACTCCCTCTCGCTCCTCTCTCCTTCCACACTTTTTACCATACCCTAATATCTTCAGAAAGCCCAGGAAGTGGAATCTCGAGACCATGTGTGTATCTTGTGCTTCTTGGAACTAGCTCCTGGCAGGAGTTCTCAGTAGGGACTTTTTAAATTCGATTCAGAAGGCTCTTGGCCGTGGATTTAAGCAAACTCCAAATTAGTTTGCTTATAAAACTAAATCCTAGTAGAGATCAGAATCCTAGTAATATGAGCAGTGGGAAGGAGGGGTGGCGACATTTTTCAAGTTGTTCTGTGGCTTGCTTCCCCCATGTTGTGATTGTTGTGCCTGTCTCCCCATCCTTTGGGTAACATGAAACATTGGAGTTTGAAATAGTCTGCCGTAGGAAATGCTCTCTCTAGGATTCCAGTGGTTCCCTCTACTTTGGAGACTAAAGCCCTTTATTTCAAAAGCTGTATTGCAACCCTAACGTTGGGTAATTGGACAGCCTCTGCCTTGTTTGCTCAGGGACCATTGTGTTTCACCCCAAAGGAGTTGGTGTGCTTGTGAAAACATTGTAAAGTCAAGTTTTGAACTCAAGCCCTTTTTTTCCACAAAATTTTACTGCCCACCTAGCACCTCTGGGCTAGTTCTTTGGTTAAATAGGGGTTGAACTAAATAAGGATAGATTTGACAGTATACTGAGACCCATATAAATACAGGTAAACCACTTAAGTTTTTCGCTGTAATTCGCATGTGAAAAAAACGTGGTTTTTTAACATAAAAACTAGAGAATTGCCTTTAACTCCACCAGGTTAGGTTTTTAAGCATTCCTTGTAGCTTGTGCTTATTGGGTGTATGAGATACGTCTTGCAACGCTTCACTTGGATTTTCCTTTAGCTTTCCAATTCCCATTGTCTTTCCATTGTTTTAACTACTTCACTATTGGACTTTAACTTGCAGTGAATAGAGCCTATCTATGTATCTTTGAATCACTACTTTCCATGATAAGTGCCTTGCAGCAAGTGTGTGATTAGCAGATATTAAAGCCAATCAATTTGTTAGAAGGCTGTTTTTCCTTGACAAGCAAACTAATTCTGCTGTCACTCTTCTAGTTTCAGATGCTGAAACTGACATCTAGTTTTTATGTGCTCCTCAATGGATTTGTAAGCATCAAAAACAAATAAGATCCAACTTAAAGTGAGCAGAATTAACTGAATCAAATAGAACTGATTTGTTTTGGTATTGACATCTGCATCTGGTTCAAGATATTATAGTTTGAAGTTCTGTGGCAGAGAAAGAATAACTTTCAACCAACACATATAATTTCTAGAAAATGTGTGAAATTATAAAATGTTACTGCTTAAATACCAGCTAGATGGCAAATTATTGATAAAATTCTGAATCAAGCCATGGGTTAGAGTCCTGCGTGGCATATAGTACTATTACTGACTTTCTACTTAAAAACAAAAGATTTTTTATATTCTTTTACTATCTGTGCTGTTACTTCCCTTTAGTGAGGTAAAGAGCAGGTTTGTTCCTTCCCTTTGGCTTTCAGTATTTAGGTGGATAGAGTATGAAACAAAGTATGATTGGAAGCAGAGTCAGAACCTTGTTTTGAGATCATCATAATCCCATGGGGAAGTATTTAAGCTAAAATAAGGTCAAGCTTATGAATTTACAAAATCCTTTAATGGATAAGCTTAATGCCCAGCAACTTTAAAATACACAATAAAAACAGCAACCCATACTGGCCAATGTAAAAAGGTTACAGAACTGGAACAGTAACTAACTGATTTTGCTTACTAATCTGGCAAAATTTAACCGGTCTATTTTCCTTTCTCTGACACCATTTCTCCTGCAATTGCTGGATTTGAGAGTGGCTTTTGGAAGTTGAGGTCTCTGATCCCAATGTGACATATACCTACAAAGACCAACAATGAGTCTTTATAATGTTCCACAGGCTTCTGTGTTCTATTTAAATAAAAGGTGAGATATAAAGGATCAGATTATTCCAAACAAAACTGCTGAAGGAGAGACAGGTACGGGGGAGGAAAAATTTAAGAAGGAGAAAGAGGAAAGGGAAGCTTCCGGGGCATCACACCATTTGCGAGGTCACAACGAACACCCCAACGAAGTGCAGATCTTTTCTTCTCAGTTGGCACTAGGTAATTGTTTGGAACATATATGTGATGAGGTTTTGATTGGGGTTCTCGACAAAGCATCTGCTCTCGGACCCCCCAGCGTAATTCCTTCCTGTGATCTTCACCAGGTAACCGCATTGAGTCCCAGTCTCGTTTGTACTCAAAGTATCGGGCTACACGGTCTACCTTGCCGCGGTTTCGGCTTAATTGGTCCAGCCTTGGGAGAATAAAAGACTTGGGTCGGCTGGCAACGATGAGGTCTTGTTCGTAAGCTGGGGGGCCCATTCCTTCTCTTTGTAGGTAGCAAATGAGCTGCTCTTGAGAAATACCTTCGTATTCACATGGTAGGTGAAATTTTTGTGAGTTGTCAACTGGGGATTCCCTGTCTTCCTGAAACTGCAGACTCATCAGCCTTTGTCTTAAGTCCCAGAGATCCATATCACTTTCTGTACCAGACTCTGACTCACTGATAATTGACTCATCTGTCACTAACACTTCCCCATCTGCCTTCCTACGCAACACCTTTCTCTTCATCACTGGCTTTCGGAGTCTTTGGGAAGCCTCTGACATGGTTCCTGAAGTGGCACTGCTCTCCATGTGTGGGTACTGTGGTTGCACAGGAAGAGTAGATTGTGTCCCAGGGGTTACTGAAGCTTTACTGTAGGGATCATATTGAGCTTCTCTCCTGACATCTCCCTCACCCTGCCCTGCACAAATATGAGTAAACGCCGTAGCAGCTGCTAGCATTCGTTCTTCTGGATCCATTTTGGCCCATTTTTGTCTATCAGGCCCCATGAGTTCTTCCATGGCTTCCCCTATACTATAGGACCTTCTGCAAGAGAAAAACATGGGTAAATTTTTGATAACAAGTTCCTAGCTCATAAATTGTTCATTCCCTTATCCATTACTTTATAGCAGTCAGAGAGAATGGCCAAGGCAGTCGTAAGTACAACAGTTATATAATACAATACAGGGTAGTATGGGATCATTTTTTTTTTAATTTTATAATAGTTTTTACATATTTTTGCATTTTCCCATCTCAGTTGCAATCCCCTTGAGTTTCCCATCACCAAATCACCCATGTGCTATCATCATAGTCCCGTGCATTTCCCTCCCCCCACTGTTTTTGATCCCATTCCCCACTTCACCCCCACAAAATGTCTCTGGTATATAGCCATTCATCATTATTTTCTCGCCTGTTCCATTATATTCCTGCTATGAGAGAAACCATCTGGTATTTTTCCTTTTCTTTCTGGCTTATTTCACTAAGCATGATCTTTTCTAGCTCTAACCATGTTGCTGCAAAAGACATGTTTCTTTTTTTACTTTGGTTGCTGAGTAATAGTCCATTGTGTATATGTACCACATCTTTTTAATCCAGTCATTCACTTTTGGGCATTTGGGCTGTTTAGTATGGGAACATTTTACGTAGCCTGCTCCACGAACACAAGTGTAGAGGGGCATTAAATAGCTCTAAGCAATCTATTACCTGATTTCATTTCCACTTTCTTCTTATTCACTCCCACTTTCTACAGCCTGGCAGTTCTTCCCACCTTTAGTAGCTCCCTAGGAGAGGTGAGTTCTAATGTAAGAAAAGCTTGAGACTATATGATACGGGGTATATTGCTTAATGTATAGTATAGCTTCACATAGGGGGCAATTTTTTGTATCTGGTAATTGTTTTGTGTGCTTTTACATTTATTCAAATAATCCTTACAACCATGGGCAGAAACTCTTATCTCCTCTTCACAGAGGTGTAGTAATGTGAGGCACAGAAAGGGTAAATAAATTGCTCAAGAGTAAACAACAACTAGAAAGTGGGATAGCTGGACTCCTAACTCAGGCTCTTTGGCTTCAGAGTCCTTTTAACCATAAGTGATTTATTTCATAGGTAATCCCAAAAGGAATATTTTCCTATCACACCCACATGTGTATATATGCATGGAAATAACTCCTTATGCCTAAGTAATCCTAATATATCTTCCCTTGCCAAGTATGTTTACTCCAATGCCCTGTGACTGAAATGACTTTAGGACCCAAATCAACCAGCCAAAACCTAAAGCGATTTTCTGAAGTCAATCTAATAAGATAGCTTATCTACTGCCTTCTATTTCCTGTGTCCCTACTATTTCATATGAACTCTTCTAAACCTTCAAGATTGCCTCGATAATCCAACTACATCAGCACAAGTAGAATTATTCAGATTTTAAGTTGCACAGAATTCCAAGATGAAACCATTAATTCCTTCAGCCAGTTCCCAGTTGATTTGCTTGCTGTCTTTTGTTGTTAAAAGCTAATGTTACAATGAATATCTTCTAAATTTTTACACACTTTTATAAGCATAGGTGCATGTTAAATTTTTAGAAATAGAATAGGTGGATCAAAAGGTATGGATGGTGTTAAATTTTGATACCCTCCTAAAGACATTGTACCATGTACATATAAGAGCTTCTTTACCGATGCCCTCTCAAAAATATAAATTATTAAACTCTCATATTAGTCAGTTCTCATAAACTGACATTTGTTTAAATAAAACTGAGTATCTCTTCATACATTTAGAAGCTTTTTTCTTTTTATATAAGATGCTTGTTCTTTTCCCACTTACCCTATCAGGTTATTGGAACTTTTCTTATTTATCTTTACATTAAAATTGATTTATATGTTCAGGAAGTATAAAGGAAGTTGCAGGATTAATAAGACATGATTCCATGTCTTCTAGTGGTTTTTTTACACTTAGATGTTTAATCAAATAGATACAGAAACTCAAAGTGCAAGACACTAAAGGAGCTTCACAGACTTTAATAAAGTTAGCACTATTTGGAGATGACCTATAACTGAAGTAACCATCTGTCATAGATTATCTAGGATTGTCCCAAATTTAAAGATGTGTACAGCTGTCCTCAAATTACTGAAAAATCCCAGCAACTTCAACACTGACATCCTAACCACACCATGCATTTTAACTCTTATAACTGTTAGAGATACAGAAATCGTTATCAAGCAATGCAGTAAATTTGAATTTAAAAAGGATCATGATGCATAGTTACCTTCTCTGTGCCATCAAGACTACTTGAGCAGGAAAATCTCACCTCCAGGTTCTACTTCCAGTATGCAGTATAATCACAGCTGCTTCAATTAGGCAAGCTTCTTACTATACCACCTTTAAGCCAGAACTGAGTATCAGATGATGGAACATATAAAGCCACTAATTTTATCTGAAATAATGGAGAATAACAGATTTATTACATATAAAGAAAAATTACTGTTTGAAAAACTCAGCAATCAAAAGATGTTTTAGGAAAAAAAAAAATCAATCCTAAATCACCTATCTAGTGAAGACTAGAAAAATTAAATCTGTATTTCCCCCATGTTCTGATTACTTAAAAGAAATTTTGGCAATGCTAGGTAAATGTTTTTCTTGTTCTCTGTGAGTTGGCCAGACAGAATAAAAAAGAATAGATGATCAACCTAAAATACTGAGGTTATTTTTGCATCCCCAAGCATAGGCATTAAATATTAGATACTATTTGAACATAATGGTATGACAGTGACATCACCAAAGAAATCACTGAAACTGTTGAATTAATTTTACTCTTTTCAGGTTAACGTGGTCCTGCATGAATTGTTTATTCTTGTGATGGTCTTATCATGGCTGAGAACGACACAGACAAAATCCAGATTGAGAAGCTCCTAAAAAGAGTACAAGAACTTGAGAAGGAGGTACAAAGACTTAAAGAACGGGCCAATAACAAGGACTCAAACATCAGAGAAAATACTTCAGGAACTAGAAAAGCTAAGCGTTCATTTGATTACAGTGCTCATGGTCGAAGACATATAGCCCTAAAGATAGCCTATCTGGGCTGGGGATACCAAGGTTTTGCCAGTCAGGAAAACACAAACAATACAATTGAAGAGAAACTCTTTGAGGCTCTAACTAAGACTCGTCTGGTGGAAAGCAGACAGACATCTAACTATCACCGGTGTGGGCGAACAGACAAAGGAGTTAGTGCCTTTGGACAGGTAAGAGTCAGCAATATACTGTTTTCAAAGCAACAGGTATTCTCTGTGTACGTACTGAGGATTATTTGTATGTCTAAAACATGGTCTCTCTTAATTCCACAGGTGATTTCTCTTGACCTTCGTTCTCACTTTCCAAAGGACAGGGATTCAGAGACTTTTAATTTAAAAGATGAAATTGCTACAGAGATCCGCTACACCCACATTCTCAATCGAGTGCTCCCTCCAGACATCCGTGTACTGGCCTGGGCCCCTGTAGCACCTAGCTTCAGTGCTAGGTTCAGTTGTCTTGAAAGGACTTACCGCTACTTTTTCCCTCATGCTGATTTAGATATTATAACCATGAATAATGCAGCTCAGAAGTATGTTGGGACCCATGATTTCAGGAACTTATGTAAAATGGATGTAGCCAATGGAGTGGTTAATTTTCAGAGGACCATTCTGTCTGCTCAAGTACAACGAGTGGGTCAGAACCTGAGTGAGGAGAAATGGGAAGAGCCTTTCCAGTTATGTCAGTTTGAAGTGACTGGGCAGGCATTCCTTTATCATCAAGTTCGCTGTATGATGGCTATCCTTTTCCTGATTGGCCAAGGTCTGGAAAAGCCTGAGATCATTGATGAGCTGCTGAACATAGAGAAAAATCCCCAGAAACCTCAATATAGGTAAGTTAAAAAAAAAAAAAAAAAGCAAAAACCCACCCTCCCCCCAAAAAACTGCATGTAAACAGCTATTGCCCTTGGCATATTTTATTAATATATTCTGTAACGGCCACTTTTTATAAAATTTCCCTCCCCCACATAATGGTCTATATGACTAACTCACTGATTCTGTCTTTATGCAGCTTTTAATCTGACTTGTAGAAGACTGTTATAAACATGTAGGAGGGGGTATATCCTTTAATTTTCTCATTGTTCTATTTCATTAGTAAGGAAATGGATATTTGGACAAGGCCCTGTTAAAAAAAGAGCATTTATTTTTATATCCTTTCCCCCATAATAGGCATTAAAGGCAACTTTGTTTAATCAGATTTTTCTTTTGAGAGCAGGCAAAAGTCATACAGACCATTAATTCATTCCTAAGTAGTAAAGTCTAGTTTTTACTTATTTCTATACAACATTGACAAGCTTGGAAAAACACCACCAGCTGTTTTTCATTTTAGGGCAGAGTAGACAGGCCAAGTCATCTCACTTCTAGGTGACTTGTTACCACTGAAACTTACCCTAATTAGATTAGCTGAAACAGTTCTTAGTTTCTGCTGTTTTCTTTTTTTAATTATAAGGTTGTTCAAAGTTAGGGATTGTATTTTATTTTCAAATGCTTACTGAAACAAACATTTTTTGTCCTCTTTTTAATACAACTGTTTTTAAAAAACTGTTGAATGGCTGCTGTGTATTCTCACTTTCTTGTCTGTCTCTTCAGTATGGCTGTAGAATTTCCTCTAGTATTGTATGACTGTAAGTTTGAGAATATCAAGTGGATCTATGACCAGGAGGTTCAGGAGTTCAATGTTACCCACCTACAACAACTATGGGCTAGTCACGCCGTTAAAACGCACATGCTGTACAGTATGCTACAAGGACTGGACTCCGTTGCAGTGCCCTATGGGACAGGTATGTCAGAGAACCTTAAGGGTAAAATTATCAGCCAGAGCCAAAATTACACAGCGTTTATGGGGAAAGCTGCTTTTGTTTGGAGGTGATTCTGTTGAGGTTACAGTATCTTATGTAATGCTGGTTGTGTATGTTATAGGACCAAAGATGGATGGAGTGACAGAATGGAGAAATGTTAAGCCCTCTGTCATAAAGCAGACCAGTGCCTTTGTAGAAGGAGTGAAAACACGCACATATAAGCCCCTAATGGATCGTCCTAAATGCCAAGGATTAGAATCCCGGATCCAGCATTTTGTACGCAGAGGACGCATTGAGCACCCACATTCATTCCATGAGGAAGAAATAAAAGCCAGAAGGGACTGTAATGACATGGTAGAAGAAAATACTATTTTGGAGAAACCAACAAAGAGAGTCTGTGTTGACACAGAAATTAAAAGCATCATTTAACCAAGAAAACTCACTTGGATCTTAGAGGCAAGATTAGTGAAAGAAACTTAGTGGTAGGTGGTTAAAAGGAAAATACAAAAAAAGTATATATTTACTGAAGGAAGTCCTAAATGATCAGCTCTTCAACAACTGGCCATTAGACCCTATAAAGGAAGTTCTTGCTTGAACAAGAAAGAGATCATTCCCTGATTTTTACCCAAATTGACTTGAGATGGAAAAAGCAAAAAGCAATCATGGTATTGGAGGTATATTTATGTATACCTGAAACCTGTGTTCAAACATTAAAGCCTGATCCTGTCTAATTTGTTGTGTTGTCCATTTTAAAAGCAAATGAAATTTCACTACTGACCTGAATGTTCATAGTTTTGCAAAGTCAGGTAAATATTTGATAACTGATTAGTGCCTCACACATACTACTTAAGTGACCTAACTGATAAAGCACAGCATTTCTTACAGAGTGTACAGTGTAGTGCTCTGTGTGCCACAAATGAGCTCTGTTGCATATTTTTTTTATAAGCTTTTACTAGTGTAAAAATATTCTTGGCTCATAAGCCATATGAAAACATAATTTATCAACCCTGTTCCAGTTTTTATAAACAGGCAATTGTAGAACAAGTGGGAGCCAGTAAAGTGGGGCTAAAGAAGCAGAGTCTTATGGGGCTAAGGAAAAAGATGTAGTTTGTATAGCAGGTTAAAGATCGAAGCATTTGCATTCAGATCCCTAAAATAGAGCAGTATGGCTTGAGTGACAAGGATATTAGTTTAGGAAGATAAGCAAGAGTCACTTTTGTAAAGCCTTGACAAAGCTTAGTTTTTTGTTTTGAGAGAACACTGTGAACAAAATTTTCTGAAAATTTAAAAGCCACAGTTGTGTAGCAAAAATAATTGCTTTGGGTATTCTATGGATTGGAAGAGGGAAGACAGGTGGAAATAGGAGCGAAATAGGCTGTTGAGAGTGGTCAAGGATATAGTTCTTTGAAGATAGCATAGACTGGATTTGTAATAAGAGGACTAGAGAGAAGTAAATGAATTTGAGATTAGGAAACAGGCTTTGTGGTTGAGTAAATGTGAAGTTCAAAAGTAGAAAGGGTTTCAGCTTAACTCCTAGCTTTCAGATTTAAGCACATCTGAAACACAGGTGGGACAATGAGGCAGCTTGACTGCTCTCAAAGTTGGTAAGTGACTCTCAAAATATTATTTATAAATACCAATATTATTCAATAGCTCAAAATTCTCAACATAACGTTATCCTTTATAACAAAAATAGTATCAAAGTGAACTCAGATATTCTGCCTCATAATTGCAGAGTGTATTATTTACATGTATGCTACAACTATACAAAATGTTTACAAGATCTAAAGTTTTCTAGGTATATAAAATCTGGTTTATATACTTAAAGCTGTGAACTAAATATAACACAGGACAATAAGAAACAACCCTAATGGTAAACTGATGCTGGAAAGTACTACAGAAGCTTCGTAATGGGTAGACTATGGAAATAAGACTTAAAGACTTCCAGATTTAGAAGGTAAAACAATTTAAGTTGAGGTGCTCTTGTAATACTGAAAAATAAGAAGACCTATGAACATTAACTTTTACCTTCCGGAAGAGTAGGAGTAAGACCACCATTTTAGAGATGGGGAAATAGAAGTATAATTTAGATTTATTTAGGTTGTCAATTAATATGATCCAGATCTACTGAATGAATCGTATCCTGAGTTTTTGGACCTGGTCGGCCAACATTTCATAATGTGATGGCTTTGTCCTTTTTTCCTGATGTAAAGAGTCCTTTGTTTTTAGTGTAATCATAGGGTAGAATATCCTCAGACATGTAAAAACAAAAAACTTATTTTTCTCAACTTCCTACCTATTTCAATGTACCTGGGCTAGAATTAGTTTTTGAATGAAGAAAAACAAAACAGTTTAAGATCAACTCTAAAATGACATACAGGAAAAAAGCACTTAAAAAAGTCATGCTTGAAGGTTGTGAAGAAGCAAAGGAGCCAGCGGATCATGGTCCTAGACCTTAAAGAAAATTCTCCTAAGTATATTTTTGTACTATCAAATCTAGAACATGGATTTAGGGACATTATTTTTGATAATTACCATAGGAAAGCTCAGGACAACCATCACAATGAAGTCAATGAGAAGTCCCCAAATATAACTGTGAAGTCAGTTAGCTGAGGTCATATAAATTCCAAACTATATGATCCAGGGAAAGCCTACATAAATGAATATTGCTGGTATGGTAGTTGCCCCTTATCCATGGTTTACAGTTGCCATGGTCAACCCATATAATTTGAAATATTACATATAATATTTTGTGACCACATTCACATAAATTATGTTATTGAAATAGTTCTATTTTATGACCTCATACTGTATGTAACTTATACGTGAGACATACAAAATCACAGGTGAGTACTTATAGGGAAAAACAGTACATGGATTCTGTACCATTCAGAGTTTCAGGCATCCACTGGGGTCCTGGAAAGTATCCCTTGAAGGTAAGGGGGCTACTACCATAAAGGAGAATTACACTTTACTGTCTTCATTGGAAAAATGAAAGGAATTCTTTCAATAGGTTGTGAAGTCTAAATGAGGTATTTATCTTTTCCGTATGTAATATACACAACAATTACATATAACCAGCATGTATATGATACACATAAAGGAACCTCCCCTTTTTCCAGGGACCACGGTTACAAAAGCATAACAAGTCTTAATTTCATTAATCATGCAAATAAAAACACTAAGATATCTTTAAATTAGTACGATTTTTCAATACCCAGCGCTGGTCAGTGTGCAAATATATGCACCCTAACTGTGTCTGTATGTGTTTTGGGGGGTGGGGAGGAGTAACAAGAGCAGATTAATCTTCCTGGAAGGTAGTTTGGCGTTAGGAATCAGAATCCAAACTATACCATAAATTCCAAGCGATAATCCACTTTCAAGAACTATTATAAAGAGAGAAATTAGAGAGGACTACAAACTTGAACACGTGAGAGTAACCACTACCATGCTATTTTGTGATGATGGAAAACCATGACTATCATTAGGGGCTTGGTTAAGAAGTAACATATGATACAAATACTGCCAGAGCCAAGAAAAAACCAATTCATCAATTAAGAATGGTAAGACATCGACACATATTCCTATTACTGGCTAAATGTGGCATAATCTACTTCTCAAGTATGCCTGACTATTAATAATATGCAATTATGTAAAAATAAATATGTAATCATGTAAATAAATGTTTATAATAATCCTTTGGGGAGTAAACTCAAAAGCGAAGGGTTTTGGGGAGATAGTTAACAGTGGCTGGGCGACTTTCTTTACACGTACTTAATGCTTCCTGAATTTATAAAAACAACGAGATCCAACAATTTTTATAATCGGGAAAAAAAGGCTTAACTCTCATTCTGGGATAGGGCTTTGGATTCTCGCTGTTTCGCGCAATCTCAGCTCACTGGGGCAGAGCAGCTCGCGTGGCTACATCTACAAGGCAAAACGAGAGGATGCGACTGCTCTCCTTCAACAACAAAGGCAAGAGGGGCACACCTGGCCCCGGCGTGGTTACCGCACCGGGGGCGGCTGGCCCGCGCCCCCTGTCCATCAGCCCCGCAGAGCGGCGTCCCGCTGGGAGTCCGCTCACAGCGCGCTCCAAGACTACGGCACGCCCAGGGCACAGCACAGCCCCGCTCTCACCGGCCCTGGGGGCAGTAAACCTAAATTTCTCAGAAAGGTCAACGCTCCCGACGCTGGACACCGAAGGGAACAGGTGACCAGGGGCGGAAAGGGGGCACTCCAGACCCTAACCTCTCCACGGCAGGGACGGGCGGCCCTCGGGGACCGGCGCCCGCGTCTCCCAGCCTCGGCCTGCTTACCCGCCCTGCCAAAGTCCGCCCGCCGAACCGAGTCGAACCGAGGTCAGCCAGCCGAACCCAGACGCGCAGCCAGGCCAGCGTAGGACTGCAGACTTCAGTTGGCGTCTCCCAGTTTGCGCAGGCGCAAGGCCCACCCACGCCCAAGGTCGCCGTTAACTGCCCGGCCGCGGAGGTTTAAACCTGATGGGCCAATCGGAACACCGTGCTCCGCCCACAGGCCCTTCTATTGGTCATAAGGGAGAATGTCTTTCCAAGTCTACATTTTGATTGGTGCACATTTGCTCTCGGTCACTGCTCCACAGGCGGGAGGTAGCCCGGGATTTGGAAGGGTCTGAGGGGATACCGCGATGATCCAACAGTTGCTACGTTACCTTTTGGCATCCCGGAAGGAGAGGAGCCTTTAGCTTCCAGTTAACGGCGAGCTAGCTGGGTTTTCGTAGAAGCCGTCTTAACATTCTGCTCACCTCAATGGCGGCAGCCCCCGCCCTTCCCAACACCGGGCGACTGTGGGGTCGATGTCTTCTGGAAGGGGAGGCTCTCGGACCACTGTCGGAGCTCCTTGGGGTCCCGCTTCTTGCCGGCAGTTCACCTGGGCTCCGAGACTCGCTGTTTCCATATAAAGACCTTGTCGCTCACCTGCCTGTTGACTCCACGGCTTGAAAGATTTTCTGATTTAACCTGTCGTTGTGTCTCCAGCCTCAACCCTCACACGTTTCTCTTAAACTTCTCCAGACTGGAGCGCGAGCGGTTTTCCTCGAATGCCTCCGGTTCACTCCCTTCACATGGTCTTACTGTTTTCTGAATCTGTACCCGGGGGGCGGGGGAAAAAGATCTGGTGCTTTGGAAAGTGCTGAGAATGAGACCTAGAAAGGAAAAAGTTAGTCCACGCAAGTGATGATCCCAGTCACTGCCGCACGAAGTAATCAAACGATTTGCACTCCAAGTCGTCAGAGTTGTTTCTTCGAGTTTGCACTAACTCCCTGCTTAACAAATGCAATTTATAAAATTTTTTAAATCTGTGAGAGGGACAAGTAATATTTAATACTCTCCAAAAATTTGAATACTACCTCTTTCTTTCATCTTGTTCCCCCAGGACCTTTGCAACAGGGTCCCTAAGTCTAAGATTCCTTAGATTTATTGGGGGGGGGGGGGGAGAAAAAGGGGGGTGGCTTGGGGGGTAAAAAAGGAAAAAGTAAGTGAGGATTTGAATGACCCTTCCCCTAGAGCTTCCAACATCTTACTTATTGCCTTACTAGCAAATACCACATGTTCAAGTTTGGTCACCTGATACCTGCAAGACTTTTTCTTTAGCGTCTGATCTCCAGTCTCTCAGAGTGGACAGTCGTTTTTCTTTCTACTACTTTGCTCATTCAGCACACTCCCTATGTGCCCTCAGTTATTTCTTGCTATCCTTCATGTTAAAATATGATATTTGAAAACCTGTGATAGCTAAGAACTTCCAAGGATCTATCTCCTGTCATTTCAAGTCATACCTTGTGTTTATCTCAACCTTTGTCTTTTGGTGAAACATTTTATCCTCCAATTTTGCCTGGATGTGATTTAATCATCATTTTCCCTGAAATCTATTGAGTCCCGATCAAGAAACCTTTACCAAGACTATTTAAAATACTATATATGGGGCCCTCCCTGGTGGCACAGCACTAAGAAGCTAAAGCCACTTCTACATGAGTTGGATCCCTGCCTGGCCCGGAGGTGACCACATGTACTTCCTCCATCTGCCTGTTCTGCTCCTCGCTCTGTCTCTGGTGAATCCTATCACCCTCCGCATCTCTAGCCTGTACCCCAGTTCTGTATGAATACATAAAAAAATACTATATATGAAAGAAAACCTATTCTTGTGAACTAGATGGCATCTTTAAGGAAAGTTCCAAACACGTAAAAACATATTTAACAAGTCCTCTGAACTCAATGCCCAGCTCCAACATTAATGCATGACCAACTCATTACTTGTTTATCACTATCATCATACTAATTTTATTACTTTGAAGCAGGTATCAGATAACTGAAGTTTAGAAATATTTCAATATGATTTCTAAAAAATGAAGTACTTTTTAAAAAAATACATCATACACATTTTAAAGTATATTTTTAAAAAAAATGAAGTACTTTTTAAAAGCATAGCTACAATACTCTACAACTAAAATATTTATTTCCTTAATATCATCAAATAGCCACTGCTCAATTTTCTATTTGTATCATGTTTTTTCCTTTTACTTTGAACCAGGATCCAATCAATCAAGTCCAGTCAGACAAGCTGTGATTGTTTGATATGTCCTATATGTTTCTTTTTTTCTATTAGTTTCTCCTCCAATTTTCTTTTTCTGTTTGTTGGTGGAAGGAATCATCTTGTTGGTTCTGTGCAGTTTCCTCAATCTGGATTTTTTTAAGATTTATTTTTACTTAATGATGCATACAATAAATGGAGTGTAGGCCAGAAGTAGTGTTGGGGTGTATGAAAGGATTCAAGAGACAGAGTGGGGAGCAGAACAGGCAGATGGACGAAATACACTTCAACGAAATACACTGCTGAGGGAAGCAGGGCAAGACAGGAGAGGTCTGCTGTGCCAAGTGGGTTAGATCCCTGGCCAGGGATCAAATTCATGCTGCAGTGCCTGGCAATGGCTTGTAACACTGGTACTTCAACCCAACGCCACAGGGAGGCCCAGAAAATATTTATTTTTTTAACAACAACAACAAAAAATTACAAGGAGAATGATAAGAAGATCTGCTAATACCCAGAAGGCAATGAGAGATCCTTAAATTGAGTAATTAATCAAAGTTCTTAAATGACTCAGGTGGTTGAATAGCACCGAGACTTAACCTCTGCATCACCAGGGAGGCTTGTCCCATAATCTGGACTTTGCTGATTACAGCTAAATGAGGTATTTTAATATATCTTCCTTACCTTTTGGTTTTAATAACAGCTCTATTGCAGATGATTTCCTGCATTGGATCTGCTGATTTATCAACCCCTCTGTATCTTTATGTATGGATTCAAATAATACTTTTCAACTGTTTATATTGTCATGCTTAAGTTAGTCACTCCTTTATGATATCTTTGCTTACCTCAAACCCCTTTGTTGACATTTTCAAACTCCTTCAACTATAGCTCTCTCATCTCCTATCTTTAATGTTTTGAATTCTTTCCTCTTTAAATATCCCTAGTCCTGGGGAACAACACTAGCATAAAGAACAGCAAAATGAAAACCTGTAACTTTTCCTTGACACTGCTGCCCCCACGTGTCAACCTTCTTGTTCCTCCTTTTTCCCTTTTGTCATTGCTCAGCCATTGAAGTACCACATCAGCATATTCAAACGGTATTAAGGGTCACCAGCTTCTTTTTAATAGTCAACTCCAGTTATTTTGCTTAGTCCTCATTCTCTTTTACTTTTTTGAGAGTATTTGATCATTTATCCAGCAAATATATATTGAACTCCCAGACTGCTAGATACTATGCTATTTCTTAGTAATCTGATGGTGAATAAAAACACAACTACTATCCTTGTGAAACTTCCACTCTAGTAGGAGAAAATGACATTGGTAAAACAGTTAAAATTATTGTAAAAATTACAACTGAGTTCAGTGCTAAGGAGAGCTAAGTAGTCGATATAAGAACATTTAATAATAGACTTGACATTGTGTGTCTGAACCACCAGCTGAATGATAAGTAGGGGGCAGGAAGTATAGGAGAGAAATGGGAGTTAAGGAACTTATCTGGGCAGAGGGAAAAGTATAGGCAATGTCCTATGGGTGTAGAAGTTTGGAAGATTCAAGAAACTGAAAGGTAGCAGCAGGTAGAGATGGGACTAGAGAAGTCGGCAGATATTGTGCATCATGTAGACCAAAGCAAAAGATTTGATATCTTCTGAAAAACTAGAAACTAACTGAAATGGGGATTGGAATGTATTATGTGTCATTTGGGTTTGTATTTGAAATTACCTTGCTTGCATTGAGAAGAATGGATTTGAAGGGAGCAAGATTTTATGTGAAGTGCAAATGGAAGGCCATTGGCAGTATTCCAAGAGGAACCTGGTGGTAGCTTAGGCTTTGATGGCAGTAGCTGGAAACAGCAAGGAAGGAGCATGCGGAGACTTTAGCAGCTAACCTCCTAATGACAGAACATGGCCTCACTGGGCTTGATGGAAGAGAGAAAGACAGCTTATAATTATTTGTACATTTCTGGTTTATGCAACTGGGTAGCATTTTCTGAATTAGGGAATACTGGAAGCTCACGTTGAAGGGCTGAATTAGGTTGAATTTGAGATCGCTTTTGAGACATCCAGATAAATATAAGATTAGGCAGTTGGAAATCTGAATGTGAAAGTTAGATATAACTTATGGTCTTGTGATATTTGCATATGAGTGAATCATAATTTGCCTTGCTATTGAGAATGAGGTCTTTAGGACATACATAGTGAAAAGAGAAGGGAGCCCACTGTCCTTGAAACTCATCTGTTGAACTAGTATGAAAGTCTGACATTCTTGAAGCCATTTTTTTT